GACCCCGTCGAGTCCAGACGCCCGGGGGCGCAGGACGAGGGGTCGCTCAGGTCACCGAGGGCCCCGGGAGCCCAGGGCGTTGGGGAGGGGACTCTCATGTCACCGAGGTCTCGGGGGGCACTGGGCAGGGGTGGGGGCTCAGGTCGGCGAGGGTCCCAGGGGTTTGGGCGGCGTCAGGTGTCCGAGGCGCGTTGTTCCGAGACCTGAGAACCGCTCTGGCCGCCCCCTCGTCTACCGAGCCGGCCCCTCATGTAGGTCTGCCGGGCGCAGCCCAGGCCACCAACCCATTTCCTGTGTGGCCACAGGGGACCTGGGCAAGGGGCCAGTGCTGCCTCGGGAACGGCTCCGCTCCCTTCACCGACTTGGGGCGAGTGTCACCTCGTTAAGAGCTCGGGATGAGCAAAGCAGGCAACCAAGGGTGCCCCGGGAGCCCCTTCCGCGAAGCGGGGCTCTGTGTTTGCTGAGGCCCGCACCGTCCGTCCTCACCTCAGTCTGCGGGGTGCACGGAGGCGTGGAAAGGGCGCCCCAAAGACGGGGACCAGGCGTACGGGGTGTTCTTTCCTCTCTGTCCACTTCTCACTGCGAACCTCACCCGGGCTGTGTTCCCTGCGGCTCCCTTTCTCCCACCTTACCTAGTCCCAGTTTGGGGCCTTCTGAACAAATGAAAGCCAGGCGCTCCGGGGAGAGGGCGGCGGCACCGCGGGAGGCCAGTCTTGTGACCGTTTCGCTAATGTTCCTCGAATGCTGTCCTGGGCCCTTCACCTAGTCTTCACCACACCCATTTTACAGATGAGAAACGGAGGCACTTAGAGGTTAAGTTACACGCCTAAGGTCGCGACGTGACTACTCAGTGCGACTGGGATTGGAGCAGGGCGTTAGTGCTACCCCTTGCTCCAAACCTGGGGTTAAACCCTGCCGAAACCGGCAAAACAGGTGCTCACATAGACTGCGGACGCCCTTTTCTGTGCTTTGGGGCATGTGTTCTTAGAATGCACGGGCTCTCCCTGTCCGTATGCTAACGCCCTCAGTGGAATGGACCAGTCGCTCAGAAGTACCAGGCTGGGTCCTGCCACTGAAGCCTCACAGCAGCTTTCTGAGCAGGACCGCAAGTGGGGGAGATGCTGGACTGCACAAGGTCACCAAGCTAGGAAACATCAGGGCCTGCGTTTGAACTTGCCTGTCTGAACTGCCTCCATCCTGCCTGAGGACCAGCAGACTAGTCCATAGCGCCAAGTTCCTTCGGACTTTAACTGCATAAGCCGTCTTCAGCTCTTAAAAATTCACTTTCTTGAGCCACCACGGGGGTCTGGAGGGGCTGGTGATATCCCTCCATGAGAGGTCTAGTCAGAGCCAACGCCCACCTCAGCCAGGTCCCAGGGGTTAGTCCCTTCCTTCTGGACTTGACTGTGGCCAGCCCTGGCCAGAGGATCCCTAGGTAGAATGGCCAGCTCAGGCTGTGCTTCTAGGAGGTGGAGACCTCCAAGGGCCAGCCCCTTGCGAGATGGACCTTAGGGATCAGACCCCCACCAGATTGTTGGCTGTGGTGTGGCTTAGGGTAGGTAGTGTTCAGAGGCCATAGTATTAGTATGTCATCGACACCAAGACATTAATTATAAAACATAACATTACTGTATGTACCACATACACATTAAAGTATGGCAGGCTATGGATGGAAGACACATCCCAGTTCCAGAGCTGTTAAAGTAAAAATACACAGTACTTAAATATGTTACAATAAAAAATTAAACGATGGTCCATTCATATAATGAAAGGCTACGTCACTATTAATAGTAATGTGTGAAAAAAGTAATTGATAACAGAAAAAGATGCTCGAACGATGTTACATTTTAAAAAGCAGGTTGTATTGATGACACCAAGGTTTGGTTCCCCATGCTGGGCAGCAACCAAAAAAAAAAAACCCTAGCATCTATTACAGAACTGGCCAGTTAGCTCACTTGGGAGAGTGAGGTGTTACACCACCAAGGTTAAGTGTTCGGATCTCTGTAATAGCCAGTGCCAAAAAAAAAAAAAAAAAGTAATTAAAAAAAACTTTTTAAAGCAGGCTATAAAACTATTACGGTATGAATTCAATTTGTGTGTGCGTAAATATTGGATCAAAACATAACTGCTCCCACACTTTCCCACCCACACCAAATCCTTTACATGACAGGAAAGATGCTAAAAAGTGTTTGTATCAGCATGGGAAAACACAAAAGGATGCCATCAGTGGACAAAAGAGTGGCAGGAAATCTCAGAACAGTAGAGCCAAATGAGATTACGTTGACAGAGAAAGCAGAGTGTAGAAAAAACCATACCCTACAACATGCGAGGCAAAAAGAACTAAGGAAGCAAGAGCTCGGGAGAAACTCCAGGCTTGGTGGGTGATCCCAGCTGCTGGGCAGGGCTTCTGGGCAGTCGCAGGGTCAATGGTGGCTGATTGAAGGATTGCAGGGAAAGCCCAGCCAGGATGGCTCTCCACCCTGTCGTCCAACCCCTGAGTTGGGCAGGCCACAGAAGGATTTGATCCCACCACACCCAGACTAAGACTCTAGAACTCACTCCAAAGCTTTCTGCCTAGGAGGCCCCTACGGTGAGTGCTGGGCTGAGAGGAGGCCTGGGCTGAGTCGGGGTTTCTCTGGGAGAGGAACAGCTGCTGGGCTAGCATGGGGCCCCCTGAGTGCCCACTGCCAGAGCAAAGTGTTATTATTCTGGCAATCATGAGGTCCCCCACACACAGGCCGAGACACCCCACAAGGAAACCTAAGGTCGCACATTCCACTTGCCAATCCCTCCCTTCTGAAGAGAGGCTGGGGAAGCAGACACACCCGCCCCAGGAAAGAAGACTCATAAGAAGACAAAGAATTGGAA